CTTGCCCAAGGCAGGACTCTAATCTTCCCCATTTTTCCAATTATAGATCATAAGACCCTTATTCCAGAAAGAGTTCCGGGCTGGGCGAAGTGGCTCACTCTTGTAATCCCAGCACTTTGGGAGGCTGAGGCAGGCAGATCATGTGATCAGGAGTTCAAGACCAGCCTGGGCAATATGGCGAAACCCCATCTCTACTAAAAATGCAAAAATTAGCCAGGCGTGGTGGTGCGCACATGTAATCCCTGCTACTTGGGAGACTGGGGCAGGAGAATCGCTTGAGCCCGGGAGGCAGAGGTCGCAGTGAGCCAAGATCGTGTCACTGCACTCTAGCCTTGGCGATAGAGGGAGACTGTCTCAAAAAAAAAAAAAAAGAAAAAAAAAGTTCTGGTGCATAGCCTGGAGATAATCTTGCATAGAGTGGCCAAGAAGAACCTGAACAGATGGGCCTAACAGGATTTAGATCATACACTCTTTTTTTTTGAGACGGAGTTTCGCTCTTGTTACCCAGGCTGGAGTGCAATGGCGCGATCTCGGCTCACCGCAACCTCCGCCTGCTGTGTTCAGGCAATTCTCCTGCCTCAACCTCCTGAGTAGCTGGGATTACAGGCACGCACCACCATGCCCAGCTAATTTTTTGTAGTTTTAGTAGAGACGGGTTTTCACCGTGTTGACCAGGATGGTCTTGATCTCTTGACCTCGTGATCCACCCGCCTCGGCCTCCCAAAGTGCTGGGATTACAGGCTTGAGCCACCGCGCCCGGCTGATCATACACTCTTTATAGCATCACATTTTGACACATTTGTCCATGCTTCAATAATGCCTATCTAAAGAAGCTTCCCTAAAAACCCAAAAGGACTGGGTTCAGAAAGCTTCTGGAAAGCTGAACATTGGAGGCTGACAGGAAAGTGAACAATAATAACTCACCCAAATGCCAGAAGCATAGCACACACCGACTGCAGGCGACAGACAATCCTGTGTTTGGGACCCCAGACCTCACCCTATGTATGTCTCCATAGGAATGTTAATTTTTATCTTTTATTTAAAAAAAAATTTTTTTTTGGTTGGGCACAGTAACTCATGCCTATAATCCCAGCATTCTGAGGGCTGAAGCAGGCGGATCACTTCAGGTTGAGAGTCAGAGACCAGCTTGGCCAACATGGTAAAACCCCATCTCTACTAAAAATATAAAAATTAGCTGAGTGTGGTGGTGTGTGCCTGTAATCTCAGCTACTTGGGAAGCTGAGGCACAAGAATCACTTAAACAAGGGAGGCAGAGGTTGCAGTGAGTCAAGATCTCGCCATGGCACTCCAGTCTTAGCAACAGAGCGAGATGCTATCTCAAAAAATATATACATAAATACCTTTTGTAATAATCCCGTAAACTGAAATGTTTCCCTGATCTCTGTGAACAGTTCTAGCACATTAAATGAACCTGAAGAGGAAGTCACTGGAACCCCAACTTGAAGCCACTTCTGGAGGTCTAGATTTGGGACTGGTGTCTCAAGTTGGGGTAGTCATGTAGATTCAATGCTCACCATATAGGATTTGATGTCTGTATTAGTCCTTTTTCACACTGATATAAAGACATACTCAACACTGGGTAATTTTCAAAGAAAATAAGTTTGATTGACTCATAGTTCTGTGTGGCTGGGGAGGTCTCAGAAAACTTACGATCGTGGTGGAAGGCAAAGGGGAAGCAAGGCATGTCTTCCACGGTGGCAGGAGAGAGTGGGTGAGGGAGAAAAGTGCCACACTTTGAAACCATCAGATCTCGTGAAAATGCACTCACTATCACGAGAACAGCACGGGAAACCATTCCCATGATCTAACACCTCTTACTCGGTTCCTCCCTGACAACTGGGATTACAACTGGAGATGAGATTTGGGTGGGGACACAGAACCAAACCATATCAATGTTCTCTCCAGCTACACAATGTCAGAATTTTATTTAAGTACATCCAGTAGGTATCCACTGCAGAATTGACTGCTTGCTTATTAGAAGAGAAAACCCTGGCCGGGCGCGGTGGCTCAAGCTTGTAATCCCAGCACTTTGGGAGGCCGAGGCGGGTGGATCACGAGGTCAAGAGATCGAGACCATCCTGGTCAACATGGTGAAACCCCGTCTCTACTAAAAATACAAAACATTAGCTGGG